AACTACCTCGCCTGGTATACAGGAGGTCGTCGTGGGTTCGATCCCGAACCCTGACGCCTGTTGTCTACTTGAAGTTTGCGTGTCTCTTTCTCTCCGTGGTGAGATGTTAACTACCTTGCCAGGTATACAGGAGGTCGTCGTGGGTTTGATCCCGAACCCTGACGCCTGCTGTCTACTTGAAGTTTGCGTGTCTCTTTCTCTCCGTGGTGAGATGTTAACTACCTCGCCAGGTATACAGGAGGTCCCGTGGGTTCGATCCCGAACACTGACGCCTGTTGTCTACTTGAAGTTTGTGTGTCTCTTTCTCTCCGTGGTGAGATGTTAACTACCTCGCCAGGTATACAGGAGGTCCCGTGGGTTCGATCCCGAACCCTGACGCCTGTTGTCTACTTGAAGTTTGCGTGTCTCTTTCTCTCCGTGGTGAGATGTTAACTACCTCGCCAGGTATACAGGAGGTCGTCGTGGGTTCGATCCCGAACCCTGACGCCTGTTGTCTACTTGAAGTTTGCGTGTCTCTTTCTCTCCGTGGTGAGATGTTAACTACCTTGCCAGGTATACAGGAGGTCGTCGTGGGTTTGATCCCGAACCCTGACGCCTGCTGTCTACTTGAAGTTTGCGTGTCTCTTTCTCTCCGTGGTGAGATGTTAACTACCTCGCCAGGTATACAGGAGGTCCCGTGGGTTCGATCCCGAACACTGACGCCTGTTGTCTACTTGAAGTTTGTGTGTCTCTTTCTCTCCGTGGTGAGATGTTAACTACCTTGCCTGGTATACAGGAGGTCGTCGTGGGTTCGATCCCGACCCTGAGGCCTGTTGTCTACTTGAAGTTTGCGTGTCTCTTTCTTTCCGTGGTGAGATGTTAACTACCTCGCCAGGTATACAGGAGGTCCCGTGGGTTCGATCCCGAACACTGACGCCTGTTGTCTACTTGAAGTTTGCGTGTCTCTTTCTCTCCGTGGTGAGATGTTAACTACATTGCCAGGTATACAGGAGGTCGTCGTGGGTTCGATCCCGAACACTGACGCCTGTTGTCTACTTGAAGTTTGCGTGTCTCTTTCTCTCCGTGGTGAGATGTTAACTACCTTGCCTGGTATACAGGAGGTCGTCGTGGGTTCGATCCCGACCCTGAGGCCTGTTGTCTACTTGAAGTTTGCGTGTCTCTTTCTTTCCGTGGTGAGATGTTAAGTACCTTGCCTGGTATACAGGAGGTCGTCGTGGGTTCGATCCCGACCCTGAGGCCTGTTGTCTACTTGAAGTTTGCGTGTCTCTTTCTTTCCGTGGTGAGATGTTAAGTACCTTGCCAGGTATACAGGAGGTCGTCGTGGGTTCGATCCCGACCCTCAGGCCTGTTGTCTACTTGAAGTTTGTGTGTCTCTTTCTTTCCGTGGTGAGATGTTAACTACCTCGCCTGGTATACAGGAGGTCGTCGTGGGTTCGATCCCGACCCTGACGCCTGCTGCTGTATATTTGTAGTTTGCGTGTATCTCTCTCTCACCGTGGTGAGATGTTAACTACCTCGCCAGGTATACAAGAGGTCGCCGTGGGTTAGATCCCAACCCTGACGCCTGTTGTCTACTTGAAGTTTGCATGTCTCTTTCTCTCCGTGGTGAGATGTTAACTACCTTGCCTGGTATACAGGAGGTCGTCGTGGGTTCGATTCCGACCCTGACGCCAACTGTATATTTGTAGTTTGCGTGTATCTCTCTCTCACCGTGGTGAGATGTTAACTACCTCGCCTGGTATACAAGAGGTCGTCGTGGGTTAGATCCCAACCCTGACGCCTGCTGTTTATTTGGAGTTTGCGTGTCTCTCTCTCTCTCTCTCGCGCTCTCATTATCACAGTGGCCAGGAGATGTTGACTACCTCGCCTGGTATCGAGGAGGTCGTGGCTTCTTTTCCCACTCTGATGCATGTACATTTAGACTTCGCATGCTTTCCTTGCGGTCGCGTGGATTTTTCTCCCGATTCCTCCAGTTTTTCCCTCCACATTCATAATCAACGTGCGTTTAGAATATTTGGCTGCTTTTAAATTCCCGCGTGATAAGCCGCTTCCTTGAGCTGTCATCTGTGATGGCCAGGTCGCTTCTGAAAAAAACAGCTATATAGTAGCTCAGTGAGCCCTACCTCGTAAAATAAAATAATCGAATTTTAGTTTCACAGATGCAAACGGTGGGACATCGCATTGAATCGAATTCTTTTTGACGCCATGAACGAGAATTATTTCTTTCGATTTAAAGCTTTCGTGACTGCAGGGATTCGTATTCTTGGTTTTGTCGGTAAAGTGATTTTATTATTTCCCTTCTACGTGACTTTACCGAAAGAACCATGAACGAGAAATATTTCGCTTTTTCATGGCTGCGTGGGTTCTAGCGGCCAGTACCGCTCAACTCTCCGTGTCGTTTCTGCGCAGTGCACATGTCACGTCTCGTCGTGAACAGCTCCATCCCCACGGAAGGAGCTCCCAGAGCGTCGAGAGAGACGACGGGGACATCAATGCGCGCTCCGACCTGAGAGCGCACCAGGGATAAAAAATTTAAAAAAATTTGCACGAATTTTTATTGGCGGCGCGATTTTTTGAGAAAAAAATTTTATATTTGAAAACACAAAGCGTGGACTGGCAGCAGTGTCCCTACCTCGTACGTGTGACGGCTGCTTCCGCGCGCGCGCGCGAGAGACATTCAATAAAAAAAAAACGCACCAAAATAGAATTCGCTTACTTCCCCGCAACGGAATCAATTAAAGCAATTGCTCATCCGTCCGTGGGGGTGCTAGAAATGAACGCGAAGATTTCAACGCGCTTGGAATTTTTGTTCAATCGTTTATTCGTTATTGTTCTTTTTTTACGTTCAGCAAAGTGGTGTATAGAACACAGCGGGGCTACGTGGGCGTCGAGGCACGTGTGGACATCGGTTCAATGCTTGTCTCGAACACCAAGCAGTGGGGGGGCGGTGGGGGGGGGGTGCATCGGCGGGCATGAATGACGGAGCGACAAGCGAGGAGAGTGGGGAACGCGTTTCGCTGGGCTCGTTCATCGAGTGGGAAGAAGCGATGGGAATGAAAGTGGCGCGCGCGTGCCGAGCGGGTTAATGCGTCGTGAGATCTGGGGGGGGGGGGGGGGCTGTAGGGGGCAACGGCCTTGGGAAAGTCCTTCATCCAGCTGTGGATTGATCATGGCTGCTGCTGCTGCTGATGATGATGATGATGAAAGTGGCGAAGACGCACATCCATCTTCGCTCGTGAATTGATTTTTTTTTGTAAACAAAAATATTTCTCAGCTGGGTAACAGTCGAGTTTGTTTTTATTATTTAATGCATAACACCCGCCGATGAAAAATGAAGAATCGCACGTTTTCATAAATGTGTCATGTTTCCATGGAAACGTAGCAGCAACGGATACCTTATTGATGTCCGTATTTGTATACGTGTTGGTTTAGTTTCAGTCGTGTTTATATTTTGTGCTCGTCCTTTGACGATACGTCGATTGAAATCGCCTGCCATGCCCCGTGCGGTCTTAATTGATTGTGTTCACGCTTACGGTGACTTTCAGACCGCATTCCATTCTCTTTCTCTCCCCCCTCCTCCATTCCGAGCCGAGATGGATTCGTCCGTCTGAACAACCGCCAGTTGCTGTCCGTGGTGCTGACGTTCAGAAAAAAACGCCACTTTTTTCAAAATTTTCTTGCTGTGGTTTTCACACCTGATGATGGTTGCTTGCGTTGCAATGGAAACGTCGTGAGAATTTTTTATTTTATTATTTCGCTTATACGTGACTTTACCGAAAGACCCAAAGAAATATGAATCCCTACAGTCACGAAAGCTTTAAATCGAAAGAAAAAAAATGTTTAAATATTTCAGGCGCGGGGGGCGGAGAGGTGGAGGAAATGATGTGCTCACTGTCCCCGCTTACGTGGGGACAGCGAGCCTGAGAGTTTCAATGGGGGCCAAAGTGAGGGGGGGGTAGCAAAGTAACGGGGGCGGATAAAGGGACTGGGGAACGGGGAAGGATAGAGGGGAGGAGTAGAGGAGGGGTAGGGGAAGAACTTGATAAGCCACCGTTTCGTCGAGATATCATTTGTGATGGCGAGATGGCTTCTGAAAAAGAAGCTGATCGCTCTGTGGGCCGTATCTGGTTAGGAACAAATGTTTGTTTCGCTTTATCTGCACATATTTTGTAATTGATGTTGGCATTTCCCTCTATACTTTACACTCGTTACGTGTCATTGTGTCGCTCGTTGTCACGTTCTCACCCCGTGCCCCGACTGGAGACCGCTGTGAAATAAGGGAGATTCACTGCCCATCGGATTTCTCCTCCTCATCCGGCCGCGTGGATGAAGATTCTAAAATCTTGACTTTAAGCTTTCGTAACTGCAGGAATTCATACTCTTTGGGTCTTTGGATAAAGTCTCGTAGATAGAAAAAAATTAACCCGTAAAAACAAAGTTTTTCACTATAAATCCTTTATATGCGTGGCGGCTAGAGTCCTCTCGTTCTCTGGCTTGAGATGGCTGCCACCTATGGGTCAGATTATTGCCTGCCACCACTAAGCTAATTAAATATAATTATTTTTTTCCTAAAAAGTGTAAAATTTTGGGGGAAAAAATTTCACGAAAATAAATTGTCACGCACAACGAGTCTGTGTGCAAAATGTCAGCTCGATTGGATCACGGCAAGTGGTGTTAAAAAACGACCGAAAGATTTGCACGGTCGTAAGCGCGCAAGCAAGCAAGCAAGTGAACTTAATATAAAGGATTTAAAAATACATTCTTATTTGATTATTCTTCTATCTACGTGACTTTACCGTAAGACCCACAAAAAGGATCAAGATTCTCAGTCTGAACTTGCGAACCTTCACACCCTCTGATCACCGGGGCCCGTCAACCCCGTCTGAGCCGTGACGTGCGCTGGCCAGGCCCTGTTTGTGCGTTATGTGACCCCCCCCTGCCTCCGCTGCCCCCCCCCCACTGCCCCTCCCCACTGCCCCCCCCCTCCCCGCCCCCTCCAGAAGACGCTAGCCGGCGGAAGAAGCGGCGGGCGGTTCGCCCGGCGTTCATGTCAAGCCGGCGCAGAAGCCGCGCGGTGCTCTACCACCTGTCGGGCCACCTGCAGAACAAGGAGAGCAAAGGCAAGCTGAAGATCAACAACGTGAGTGTGGAGGCGTGGGGGGGGGGGGGGGGCTATGCACGGTGATTTACACCGTACAGGGTGGGGTGGGTGGGTGGGAAGGGGATTGTTGCAACCGCAGCGCTGTGATGGTTACGGCCGCTGGGAAGTTCGCGCTCCTTACGCACGCGCGAGCGAAGCGCTTGCCGCAGACGGACCGCGGTGACCTCGCTGATTGCGTCAAGGAGCGTTGGGCCATCACGGGAACTCTGGTCGTCCTTCCCCCCCCCGCACCTCCGATTAGCACGCCTGGCTACGTACGGTGCGAAAGAAGTTCAATATACATACATAGACTCACGCAGAGATCTATAGACTCACACACAGACCCATAGACTCACACAGAGACCCATAGAATCACGCAGAGACCCATAGACTCACACAGAGACCTATAGACTCATACAGAGACCCATACACTCACACAGAGACCCATAGACTCACACAGAGACCAATAGACTCACAGAGACCCATAGACTCACACAGAGACCCATAGACTCACACAGAGACCCATAGACTCACACAGAGACCCACAGACTCACACATAGACCCATAGACTCACACAGAGACCCTTATACTCACACAGAGACCCATAGACTCACACAGAGACCCATAGACTCACACAGAGACCCTTATACTCACACAGAGACCCACAGACTCACACATAGACCCACAGTTTGTTGTCTTCCCCCCGCACCTCCGATTAGCGCGGCTGGCTATGTACGGCGCGAAATAAGTTCAACATACGCACATTTAATTTGCAATCCAAAATAAAATAGTGGATGAAACGCCACCTCCCCCCCCTTCTGCACCTCGTCCCCACATCTGTCTATTCGTTGTTGTCTAAGCTATATTTACACGCAAGCCCGTCAACCGCACGGCAGCGGCGTTGGTTCAATAACAAGCAAACCGTGCACCGGCTTTCGACATCCGTCGCCTGAATCACCACTGGTGTTGTGTGTGTGTTGTGTGTGTGAGCCGCTCGGTGTTCGAAGGCACAGGGGATCTGTAAGAATGACAAATCCGCTCGATGCGCGCGCGCGTGTGTGTGTGTGTTATTTTATTTGTCGCTGTTCTTTCGGTAAAGTCACGTAGAATGGAAATAATAAACTAATAAAATACAACATAATAAATTAATTATTGTAGAATGGAAATAATAAAGTAATAAAAATGAAACATAATAAAATAATGACTTTACCGAAAGAACCAAGAAGATGAATCCCTGCAGTCACGAAAGCTTAAAATCGAAATTTGTTGCTGTTCTGTTTGGGTACATCCCACCCCCTCCCCTGCCACGTTCCCAATCGTCGCCCCTACGAGGGGAGGTAGGGAGCAGGGAGCCCAGTCCCCTTTGGCTGGTCCTTATCCCGAGGGCAGCTGGCCCCTGGGTTTATTGCTCGCAGGGAGGGAGCTGTGTGTGTGTGTGTTTTTCCCCATTCTGAATCTGGCTATTGTGTGTAAAAAAAAATAGATATACATGCCTGTCAAGCCCTTATCAGCACCCTACCTTATTACAGACCAATTCAGACAGCATTGGTCACCCGGGTCCCTTATACATCTCAACGTTCACCCTACAAAATCCCATCACAAGGGAGGAACACAAACAAATAGAAAAAAATGTTCGCCCGTATTGAAACGGCGGTACGTCGCATGGACCTGAAAACTCAATTTCCCTGTACAAGAATACGGGGTAAACCGTGATGGGTTCTTTCGCGCGCGCGAGAAAGAGACGCTCCGCGGAATTTTTTAAGGAGCGTTTCCCAGACTCGGAATCAGAATAATAATTTTGACTTGGAGGAATCCGATGAGCTGCAAAGCTCTTTCTCGCCGATGTCCAGTGGGCGGTCGGGTCAGCAGCTTCAGCAAGTTCTGCTTTATATTCTTGGGTTTTTTTCGGTAAAGTCACGTAGGTAAAAAAGAATTGAAATTAAAATTAATAAAAGTAAAATAAAATAAAAAATAAAATAAAAATCACGACGTTTCGGAGGCAACACAAGCTTCCGTCTTCAGGTGGAACCGTCACAACACGTTTGTTGCATCAAGTGAAAAAAAAAGAATATGAATCCTTGCGGTCACGAAAGCTTCAAATCTAGAATTAAGTTCTTTCTTTCTCCTTTCCGCGCAGAGGGTGCTACGCGAGCAGCTGGTGCTGCCGGAGTACAAGGTGGCGACGGTGCAGAAGTCCAGATTCATCTTGCTTCACTACGCCACCTTCAAGGGTAACCCAGCGCCTCACCAGCTCTGCCCCGAGGCCGACAGCGGCGCTAGTGGAGAGAGACGGAGAGAGACGGAGAGAGAGCGAACGAGCGGCACCTGCCAGGGAAAAAAACTTGACACGTTGGGCGGAGTATAGACTGGAGTGCGCTAGCCAATCAGACGCCAGCACGACCGCTAGCCCAAACAAACTAGCCAACCAGACGCTAGCTCTATCACGAGCCCTAACAGACTGGCCAATCACACGTTAACTAGACACTAGCTCTATCACTAGCCCTAACAGACTGGCCAATCACACGTTAACTAGACACTAGCTCTATCACTAGCCCTAACAGACTGGCCAATCACACGTTAACTAGACACTAGCTCTATTACTAGCCCTAACAGACTGGCCAATCACACGTTAACTAGACGCTAGCTCTATCACGAGCCCTAACAGACTGGCCAATCACACGTTAACTAGACACTAGCTCTATTACTAGCCCTAACAGACTGGCCAATCACACGTTAACTAGCCACTAGCTCTATCACTAGCCCTAAAAGACTGGCCAATCACACGTTAACTAGACACTAGCTCTATTACTAGCCCTAACAGACTGGCCAATCACACGTTAACTAGACACTAGCTCTATCACGAGCCCTAACAGACTGGCCAATCACACGTTAACTAGACACTAGCTCTATCACTAGCCCTAAAAGACTGGCCAATCACACGTTAACTAGACACGAGCTCTATCACTAGCCCTAACAGACTGGCCAATCACACGGTAACTAGACACTAGCTCTATCACGACCCCTAACAGACTGGCCAATCACACGTTAACTAGACGCTAGCTCTATCACGAGCCCTAACAGACTGGCCAATCACACGTTAACTAGACACTAGCTCTATCACGAGCCCTAACAGACTGGCCAATCACACGTTAACTAGACACTAGCGCTATCACTAGCCCTAACAGACTGGCCAATCACACGTTGACTAGACACTAGCTCTATCACTAGACCTAACAGACTAACCAATCACACGTTAACTAGACACGAGCTCTATCACTAGCCCTAACAGACTGGCCAATCACACGTTAACTAGACACGAGCGCTATCACGAGCCCTAACAGACTGGCCAATCACACGTTAACTAGACACTTGCGCTATCACTATTCCTAACAGCCGACCGGAGCATCCTCCTGTGCTTTGCTATTCTTATTTTTTTGTCTTCTTCCCTCGATCACTCGTATTCTTGACGCTTCTTGAAAAGACGTTCCAGGCTTGGGGAGATTCCATTGGGCGGTTCGCGCTGCCTGAAGTGAAGGTCATCTCTTTATGAGTGGTAAATTTAGCCAGCGGTTTAAATTGTAGCCAAGAGGCTAGAACCGTCAAGCGTTTAGTCAAACGCTCGCCGCGACTGAATGTTTGCCGTTGGGGGAGTGCGTTATTCTCCCCACCAATATTGTCAGGTCGGCCAATCGGTGACCTCGGTTAATCTTGTTATGTAGACACGGATAGCCAATTGACATACCGCGTCAACCCATTCGGTTTGCTCCGTATTCTGGTAAAGGGAAATTGAGTTTCCAGGTCCATACGGCGTACAGCCGTTTCAATGCGGGCAACAAAAATGTTTGTCTATTTGTTTGTGCTTCTCCATTGTGATGGGACTTTGTAGGATGAACGTTGAGATCTATAAGGGAACAGGGTTACCAATACGGTCTGAATTGGTCTGTAATAAGGGTTGACAGGTATGAAAAAAGCACCATGTTTGGTTCATATTCTTGGTTCTTTCGGTAAAGTCACGTAGGAGGGAAAAAAAATTATATTTATATTATTTTATTATTTCCCTTCTACGTGACTTTACCAAAAGAACCAAGAATATGAATCCCTGCAGTCACGAAAGCTTTAAATCAAAATTGACCATGTTGGGTGTTTCTCAGTGCACTGCTTTAACAGCGTTACCAAATAATTGTCGTCGGAATCTTCGTTCACACTCGTTAATTTAATTTTGTCTCGTCAGTCAGCCACGTGTTGGTCTTTGGTACGAAGCCATAGTCTCGTGGTGATGGCGGTGACGGTGGTGATTGTAGTTGTGGTGGTGGTGGGGAGCGGTAGTGTAGCTGTTAGCGTGCTGCACTACGAACCCGGCAACCCGAGTTCAATTCCAGCCCACAGCCAACCTCAGTGACGTGAAATAGAAACCGGTTCCTGGGCCTCCCCTAGGTCTACTCCAGCCTCAAATGAGTACCTGGTGCGGTGTGGAAACATCGTCACTGGCGGTCGGGCGTGGTGCTGGCCACCCACTCCGTCGTGTGCCGTTCCGGCCTTCATAGATGCTACTTGCTAACAGCACTTGCCCCAACAGTCTGTCAATGTTATACGGGGGATCTTTGTTGTTTGTTGGTGGTCGTGGTGTTGGTGCGCAGTCATGGTCTGGTGGTGCTGGTGGTGGTGGTGCTGGTGGTGCTGGTGGTACTGGTGCTGGTGGTGCTGGTGGTGATGGTGGTGCTGGTGGTACTGGTGGTGCTGGTGCTGGTGGTGCTGGTGGTGCTGGTGTTGGTGGTGGTGGTGCTGGTGCTGCTGGTGATGCTGGTGCTGGTGGTGCTGGTGGTGCTGGTGGTGGTGGTGCTGCTGGTGGTGGTGCTGGTGGTGCTGGTGGTGCTGGTGGTACTGGTGCTGGTGGTGATGATGGTGGTGCTGGTGGTACTGGTGCTGGTGGTGCTGGTGGTGGTGATGGTGGTGCTGGTGGTGATGGTGGTGGTGGTGCTGGTGGTGGTGCTGGTGGTGGTGGTGATGGTGGTGGTGGTGTTGGTGGTGCTGGTGGTGATGCTGGTGGTGGTGCTGGTGGTGCTGGTGGTGGTGCTGGTGGTGATGCTGGTGCTGGTGGTGCTGGTGGTGCTGGTGGTGGTGCTGGTGGTGGTGGTGCTGGTGGTGGTGCTGGTGGTGCTGGTGGTACTGGTGGTGCTGATGGTGCTGGTGGTGGTGGTGCTGCTGGTGGTGGTGGTGCTGGTGGTGCTTGTGGTGATGCTGGTGGTGCTGGTGGTGCTAGTGGTGGTGCTGGTGGTGCTGGTGGTGGTGGTGCTGGTGGTGCTAGTAGTGGTGCTGGTGCTGGTGGGGGTGCTGGTGGTGCTGGTGGTGGTGCTGGTGGTGGTGGTGGTGGTGCTGGTGGTGGTGGTGATGGTGCTGCTGGTGGTGCTGCTGGTGGTGCTGGTGGTGCTGGTGGTGGTGGTGCTGGTGGTGCTGGTGGTGCTGGTGGTGGTGGTGGTGGTGCTGGTGGTGGTGGTGCTGGTGGTGCTGGTGGTGCTGGTGGTGGTGCTGGTGGTGGTGGTTCTGGTGGTGCTGGTGGTGCTGGTGGTGGTGCTGGTGGTGGTGGTGCTGGTGGTGCTGGTGGTGCTGGTGGTGGTGCTGGTGGTGCTGGTGGTGGTGCTGGTGATGCTGGTGGTATTCGGGGGGTAAGAAGTCAAAGTCTTCATCACGATTGGTGAACTTCATCCTCTGGCGGCCACCGTCGGCTAAAATAAACCAAAACGCTTCGCTGACGAATATTTTTTTGGTGCTAATTTCAATCAACGGAAATTAACACCCCGATCCTCACACGTGACGGCAGGTTCTCAGAAACACAGGCGGAATGATAATGAGGTCGGTCTTATTTTTAACTCGACTAGAAAAGTGCCCAAAAAGGATTTCCTTTTAGTGCACCAACGTAGCAACCAAGTACATGAGAATGCCTATAATGAACCGCTGTGCGGGACCCATTTTCAAGATAAATTCGTGGTCGGTGCGGCAAATGCCTGCTCCGCTTAGGAAAAAAGATATACTCCATATAACACTCGACTCATTTGTCAATCACACACCGTGGCTCGTAAAGGAAAAAAAAGATATATAAAAGGTGACATTTTGAGCTAGTGCCCTTATTCATAGCACACGTATAGGGGAGGCATTTCTGTCAGAGGGGCCTATGAAAGCCTCTCTATGCGTACGATAAGATAGATAAAAGAACTGATTGAGGTTAAATGAAGGGGTGAGACTGGCTAGGGTTAGGAAACGTAACACGATTGTGCCAAACCGTTCCTAGTTCAGCACACCGGTTGTGTGTTGGAGAGTAAACCCACTACAACATTTACGATTATAGTGTATAGTGTAGTGTATAGTGTAGTATACTAGTTCAGCACACACCGGTTGTGTGTTGGAGAGTAAACCCACTACAACATTTATAATTATAGTGTATAGTGTAGTGTATAGTGTAGTGTATAGTGTAGTGTATAGTGTAGTTTACTAGTCCAGCACACCGGTTGTGTGTTGGAGAGTAAACCCACTACGACATTTACAATTCTAGTGTCGTGTATAGTGTAGTGTATAGTGTAGTGTATAGTAGTGTAGTGTATAGTAGTGTAGTGTATAGTAGTGTAGTGTATAGTGTAGTGTATAGTGTAGTACACTAGTTCAGCACACCGGTTGTGCGTTGGAGAGTAAACCCACGACGACATTGACAATTCGAGTGGCGTGACGTTTCGCCGGTATAATCACAACAACAACCAGCATCATCAGGAGGACAGCCAGAGTTGTGGAGTAATGCTCGTTGCGGTGTGATGGGGTTCAACACCACGTGACGGATCGAGACGCGCCAGTCGGGCCTGCTCCAGATGTCTCCCTCTCAACATGGAGAGGGAGAATGAATAAGTGAAGTTGACGAGAACAGTAACCGTGCTAGTAGCGATACAAGAGTGACAAGGAGGTGATGAGTGACCGGAATGATATTAGCGCTGGACCGTCAGTCAACCCAAATGTCGAGTGGTGGCGCAGTGGTTAGCGCACTGCACTGTGGACTTGGTAGCCTGAGTTTGATTCCCGGCCACGCTAACATCGGTGACAAGCGCGGTATGTGAACTGGTCCTTGGCACTCACCACAAAGACAAAAGATCCCCCAGTATAGCCTTCAACAGACTGTTGTGGAAAGTGCTGTTAGCGAGAACCTGTGAAGGCCTGCACGGCACGCGAGGGGGTGGGTGGCTAGCACCACGCCCGGCCGCCTTTGTCTCCCCAGTGGCGGTGATGTTTACTACACACCGCACCCATCCCAGCAACTTTTCCCGGGCCTTTATCCAGCAGTGGATTAACAGCAACAAACATCTATGAAGAACATTAAAGGCATACAATACGATGCTTGCTTCTGTTTTTCATCGAATCTCAAATCGGAGCAATTGCTTGATTTCTCGTTCCTTCTGGAACACGTGGTCTGCCTGGTGGATAATTGCAGAAATCCGCGACTGATAAACGAGGGCACATTTTTTGTTTTTTATTCACGATCAACATTATTGAATTGACAAAAACAAATGAGAGAAGCCACCCACCTGCCGTGACACATCACGACGCATTAATTGAATTGCTAAAAAAAAGAATATATTCTGACAAATAATTATTTGCCGCGACTGCAGAGGCGGGGGCGAGGGCCAATCTGCGACAGGTGAACTGCACGAATCGAAAGGGAAGATGAACACAAACACATATAGACGGTTCAGCATATAAAAGCGTTAGGGTGAGCGGTGGTGCAGTGGTTAGCGCTTTGCTGCGCTACGAACCTGGGGACCTGGGTTCGATTCCCGCTCATGGCCAACACCAGTGACGTGAATAAGAACCGGTTCCTGGGCCTCCCCTAGGTCGACTCAGCCTCAAACGAGTACCTGGTGCGGTGTGTAGTAAACATCGCCACTGGGGAGACAAAGGCGTCCGGGCGCGGTGCTGGCCACCCACCCCCTTGTGGTGCCGTGCCGGCCTTCATAGGTGCTCGCCAACAGCACTTGCCCCTACGGTCCGTTACAGGCTATACGGGATGGGATCTTTGTCTTTATCTTTGCAGCTGGCGTTGACCGCGGGGCAGGTCGAGACGTAGGCAGGACAACGGTGCAAACATGGCACAGAGAATCGTCCCGCGAACGCGTCTCGAGTAACGCCGCGAATTGTGTATCGTCTCTCCCCTCCACCACCCGACCCGCCCGTCTCAGCCGGCTGGGACTGGCTGACCTTGCTGGCGACATTCTACGTGGCTCTCACGGTGCCCTACAACGTCTGCTTCGTGGGGAAGGAGGACAAGCCCGTGCCGTCACGCATCACCATCGTCAGCGACATCGCCGTCGAATTCCTCTTCATCACGGGTCCGTTGATGCACTTCGACCCCCCCCTTCTCCCATCACCCCCATCGCCTCCCGAATACCGCGTTGTTGCTGCTGCTACTGCTGCTCGGTTACTTTACACCCCCCCCCCCCCTCTCTCCACTCATGGCTGTCGGACCATAGCGGTTCATGGCCCCGAATTCACGCGCAGGGAGATTTGCAGGTCCATACGGCGAGCAGCCGTTTCAATACGGGGCCACAAGAACAACAACAGCAACAAATCTATGTTGACTTATTTGTTTGTGTGTTTCACTCTTGTGGATGGGACTTTGGAGGATGAACGTTGAGATTGATAAGGGGCACGGGGTGACCAATAAGGTCTGAGTTGGTCTGTAATAAGGTAGGGCACTGATAAGGGGTTGACAGGTATGAACTATACACTACACTACTGTACACTATTATACACTACACTATACACTAATATACACTACACTCATCTACACTACCATACAATACACTGTTATACACTACACTACTATACCCTACATTACACACTACACGCCCATACCTGTCAACCCATACGATTTAACCCGTATTCTTGTCCAGGCAAATTGAGTTTTCAGGTCCAGCCGTTTCGATAGGGCAACAAAAATGTGGTCTAATTTGTGTTTTTCCCCTTGTGATGGGATGAACGTTGAGATTTATAATGGAATGGGGTGACCAGTAAGGTCTGACTTGGCATGTAACAAGGTAGGGCACTGCTAAGGGGTTGATAGGTATGTAATAGTGTAGTGTATAGTGTAGTGTATAGTGTAGTGTATAATAGAGTAAGTGTATAGTGACTTTGTAGGATGAACGTTGAGATGTATAAGTGACACGGGGTGAGATCTGAATTGGTCTGTAACAAGGTAGGACACTGATAAGGGGTTGACAGCTATGGCTGTGACCTTACCGCCTGAATGTCAAATTGTAGGTGGTGAGATGTTAACTACCTCGCCTGGTATGCAGCAGGCCGGGGTTCCGATCCCGACCCCTGATGCCCTCTGTATGTTTGAGTTTGCGTTGTATCACCATCTCCCCGTGGGTCGCGTGGATTTTTTTAATTTCTCCAGGTCCTCCGGTTTTTCCCTCCACATTTTTGAATCAAGGTGCGTTTAGACTATTTAGATAATGTTGCCGCTATAAATGTCCAAATGAAAGGCCACTTTGTTGAGCTATCATTTGTGGCCAGGTCGCTTTTTGAACAATAAGTTATTAAGTTAATAGCTCAGTGAGCTTGGTCTGGTGGATGGTTTAGTGATGTATTTGTTTGTGTTTGGGTGATTTGTTGACCTTTCTTGGACTTTGCGCTGCTATCGTGTGTTGTACTGTTTGTTGTTGTAACGTGTTTACACGCCCCAACTGGACATCTGTGATAACGAGCTTCATAGTTGTTCGGATTCTTCCAGTATAAATACATGTTCTGTCTTCTTGGTTCTGTCGGTAAAGTCACGTAGAAGGGAAATAATAAAATAAAAAAATAAAACATAATTAAATACAATTCTCACGACGTTTCGGCCACAACAAAAGCAGCCGTCCTCAGGTGAAGAACAGGTCTGTCGGAAAGACAGCGTCTGAATGAACACCACCATGTTTGGAAGCGTATATTTAAGCTGGGTTGGAGGGGGAAGAGCGCCTTGACAAAGGAATTTGATTACGATTTTTTCCCTTTAACCCTTTCTAGAAACACTTAAGAGATATGTTTTTGCATTAACCACACGTACTCGTGGCAAAACATTCAAACAAACGTGCTCTGATAATAATAATATCATTTGCGTTGTCTTTGAAACTCGATTGGCCGACGCCAGAGACAGTCTTCTTCATGGCCTAGTCTCACCCACAAGTGTGAGACGACCAAAAAGTCAAACAGTAGAAAGGCAAAGCGAGTATCAAAGCATCAAAAGCTCAGGTTGAGCAGTCATACCTATCCGGCACAGAAAAAAGGTCCCAAAGATATACCTGCCGGTTTTATCGCCAGAAAGGATAAAAGCCTCTTCTTGCTTTTTAAATCCTTTATATTAAGTTCACTTGCTTGCTTGCTTGCGCGCTTACGACCGTGCAAATCTTTCAGTCGTTTTTTTTTAACCCACTTCCCGTGATCCAATCGAGCTGACATTTTGCACACAGACTCGTTGTGCGTGACAATTTATTTTGGTGAAAATTTTTTTGCAAATTTTCCACTTTTTAGGAAACACATTTTTTTCATATTTTATTTAATATACCAATGTGATAAAAATGAAACTCTTACTCAAGAAAAACAAATGAATAATAAAATAAAACCGATGCCACGCATATAAAGGATTTATAGTGAAAAACTTTGTTTTTACGGGTTAATTGTTTCGGCAATCTGGCCCTGGGTTGTCGACATCATTTCTGTCGGCACCAGCACAAAAGAAGGCTATTTACACATCGCGTGCGCCTCTTAGCCCACCCGGCCATAAGTGCATATGCAGCGAACCCGAATTTGGCATTCATATGGAAATGCTGTCATTTAACACAGACACGCAATGATAATTAAATATATAAAAGATACCAAATATTTTGGGCCAAAGCAAGATTCGTACACAGTTCAAATTCACATGTTTGGCACAATGGACTTGCAATCCAGGGAGAGGGGTGGGGGCGTTGCTAACAATAGTGCAACATCTTCTTGGTTCTTTCGGCAAAGTCACGTAGAAGGGAAATAATAAAATAATATTCTATTATTTATTGTTTTATTTTTATTATTTTATTATTTCCCTTCTACGTGACTTTACTGAAAGAACCAAGAAGATGAATCCCTGCAGTCACGAAAGCTTTAAATCGAATTTGTATTATATTTAATTATGTTTTATTTTTATTATTTTATTATTTAAATCGAAAAATAGTGCAAAAGTTTTACAAATGCCCCCCCCCCTCTCATGGCCACCACCTCCTCCTCCCTCCTCTGTCCACACGTGCAGAAATAAACGGGTTCACCACGCAGAAGGGCAGAGCAGCGATTGAGGTCAAAGAAGAAGATCCAGTTCATGTGTGCTGGGTAAAGTGTCGGCACGAACCATATCTATCCAAAGACGCCTGGTCAGTGTGTAAGAGTTGAGATAGGCCGCAAAAATAACCTCGAGAAAAGCGGGTCTGAACCTTTACTGCAGCCTGCACCATACTATTACTCTTAGTTGTTTCGGTAAAGTCACGTAGGTAAAATTTGTTTTATTAAAATTAATAAAAATAAAATAATAAAAATCACGACGTTTCGGAGGCAACACAAGTCTCTGTCATCAGGTGGGACCGTCACAGCCAGATTTGCTGCATCAAGTGAGGCAGGGATTCAAGATGCAAGTTCTTAAATACAAGCTGAGGGGGGGGGGAGCTTATCAGAATGTGGTAGCCAATGTATGGAACGTATTGGAAGGGGGAAGGTCGGGGCTCAAGTTCAAGTTCATGTATTAGGTGTAGCCCTGTGAGCCATTCGGCTCTTGAATCGGGTGCAACCGCAACAAACAAAAAACAAAAACACGAACAAAAAACATCTTAAAGTGAATATGTGACTAAGTGCAAACAGAAAATCCAAGAAAAGACAGCAGAATATTGCAGAAAAAAAAAACACCGTACACCAACGCTGTGTGCAAAAATCCCAGTGGGATGCAAGTCAAAAGCCACTCCACAACAGCAGGCGTATCAATCGGAGTATTATCATTTTTCAATGCACCTTCAAGATCAGCACACTAAAAGCCTGCACCACTTTGGTCCTCAGAAAGAGCATCTCGCATCGAGAGCTTCTAGCGCACGGGTTCTCAGCCAGGGGTACGCATACCCCTTGCGGGGGTTACATGGGCAATGTCCCACGGGGAAACGGGAGGTGATTTATCGATGTGAGAAATGAAATCATGCACGAAAGTCATTGGTGAACAATCGCGTACGAATCTGCCAATGTAAAATAAAACGGCGATAAAATGTAAAAACATACGGTAACCGAGAAAAGCATAAAAAACATTTATAAACTCACAGATTGTAAACAATGTGGTTTCCAAGGGTAACCAGAAAACGCGAACAAATACCATCACACGTGCAGAGTGTTCGTTTAAAAAAAAATCTATTATCTTGCGGTTACTTAGCTAAGTTAGGATATACCTCGCAAAATGGACAATCGGTTAAATTATTGATATTCCTTGTTCATACATTTATTTCTCAGGACCACGTTGGGCCAGCTTGTGTTGCAATCGAAACGTCGTATGCTATTATTTAATTTATTATTTTATCTTTATACGGTGACTTTACCGAAAAAACCAAAGAATAATTCCTGCAGTCACGAAAGCTCCAAAATTAAGATTCAGCCAAGGGGGTTACTCGGTTGAAACTAAAATCAGCAACGGTGGGGTACAGGAGTAGCCAAACATAGTTCAGAACCAATGCCCTAGGGGGGCTATTTAACGATCCTTTAAGCGTCGGCACTTCTTCCTGCAGTGGCGTACAAAGTGGAGGAATCCGATAAGCTATAAAGATCTTTTTCACAGATTCCCAGCAAGCAAGCATGCAACTGCAGGGCTGCGCCTTTAACCTGCTAATCCGTCGTGACGACACGTTGCCATGCGTGTGTCCCCCTGCAGACATCATCCTGAATTTCCGCACCACGTTTGTCAGCAAGTCCGGCCAAGTGGTGTACGACTCACGGCTCATCTGCATGCACTACTCCACCACGTGGTTCTTCATCGATCTCATCGCAGCCCTGCCCTTCGACCTTCTCTTCGCGCTCAACATCACCGTGGTAAGGCCTCCCCGAGGCTTGCAACGGGCCTTCGAGCGAACCTGCGCCGAGGGAGGGGAGGGATGTGGGGGTGTGAAGAAGGAACGTGCCCGCCAACTAAAGCCATTATGTAACGAGAGAGAGAGCACTCGCCCACGAGGGTGTTCTTGTTCGATTTGAAGCTTTCGTGACTGCAGGGATTCATCTTCTTGGTTATTTCGGTAAAGTCACGTAGATGGAAAATAATAAAATAATAAAAATAAAATATTAAATAATTATCACGACGTTTCGGTCACAACGCAAGCAGCCGTCCTCAGGTGGAGAACAGGTCCTCGACAGGTCCTCGACAGACCTGTTCTCCACCTGAGGATGGCTGCTTGCGTTGTAGCGAAACGTCGTGAGAATGATTTTATTATGTTTTATTTTTATTATTTTATTATTTTCCTTCTGCGTGACTTTACCGAAAGATCCAAGAATATGAATCCCTGCAGTCACGAAAGCTTTAAATCGAAAAGTTGTAATACTTTTTATTGAAAGCTTTCGTGACTGCAGGGATTCATATTATTGGTTCTTTCGGTAAAGTCACGTAGAAGGGAAATAATAACATAATACATGTAAAAAAAATTGTAAAAAAAAAGTTTTCCTCTCTCGCGGTCAGTCCCGAAGAGGGGGCCTGCCGCTCCTGATTTGTTCGGCATTTTCTCGCCACGCATCGCCTCTCAACGCGCTGTTTAAATGATGACGGCGGTGAAAATTTGTCCACGTTAAATAATGCGGGCGGGTACAAATCGGGTAATAGCGCCGTTAAACAACGTACAGCGTGCGTTTACGTGTGTCCATGTATGCATTATGAATTAGGTGCGTACGCATTTTTTTCAGACGCTGATTTCACTCGGGCAGATACGCCCTGTGCGCAAACCTGCACACGCAACACAATTCTCACGGGACACTTTCTCGGGGTCGCATTCTCTCACGACCCCGCGCTGTGTTTGCGCTCTTTTCGCCCTGCGGAATCAATGTTGACGGTGGCACCAAGAAGCTCTCTGCGCGGCAGAGGCAACTGCATTTGAAGTGATACTGAAAATGCATACTGCTAGTAACCTCCTGGTTACACCAGCCCACAGGGGATTATTGTGTCCGTCGGGGAGGGAGGGGCTGGGTGGGGAGGGGCTGGGTGGGGAGGGTGGAGAGGGGCTGGGTGGGGAGGGTGGGGTAGGGCTGGGTGGGGAGGGGAGGGTGGGGAGGGGCTGGGTGGGGAGGGTGGAGAGGGGCTGGGTGGGGGGTGGGAGGGGTGGGGCTGGATGGGGAGGGGAGGTGCTGGTCACCCCGTGGTGCCCTTATAAAACTCAACGTTTAACCTACTCACGCCGGCTTGTGCCCGCCCTCACAGTCGGGCATATTTGCGGAATACACCACGCCGCCGTTGACCCTGCAGGCCATTGACCGAGCAACCCAACGTTACTACCAGCTCCCTCCGCAGGAGAATGTGATTTTTTTTTTACCGAAAAGTTGAAATTTGCTCTCTTGCGAATTTTTTTTTAAATGTCCCCTCCAACATACGAGAACAGTGGACGAAATGAAAAGTTTGCCAAAAACAGGAGGCATCTGTTGTGTTGTCCGCAGCGTTTCGGAACGCCTAGCCCATAAATGTTATTTGCGCGCACCCACAATTCATAATTACGAGACTACATTGAAGAGATGATTGTCACATGGCGTGTGCATCACTCAAATTAAGTGGGCACAAGAGAGGGCGATCTCGGGCACAGCATAGCGTTTCACCTGTTTGCTTGTGTGCGCATGACGTTTCGTGTGTGAAACGTATTTGGTTTGCGATCACCTCCTTGCTGAGCAATTATCTCAAATACCGCTTTGCACTGCTGCGTCTCGATTGCAACTCTGTACTGTGGACCATGCAGCCCGTGCAGCAGCAGCAGCAGCAGCAGGACCCCATGCAGCAGCAGCAGCACCAGTACATGCAGCAGCAGTACATGCAGCAGCAGCACCACCAGTCCATTCAGCAGCACCAGTGCATGCAGCAGCACCAGTACATGCAGCAGCAGTACATGCAGCAGCAGCACCACCAGTCCATTCAGCAGCACCAGTACATGCAGCAGCAGCAGTACATGCAGCAGCAGCAGTACATGCAGCAGCAGCACCACCAGTCCATTCAGCAGCACCAGTGCATGCAGCAGCACCAGTACATGCAGCAGCAGCAGTCTATGCAGCAGCACCAGTCCATTCAGCAGCAGCAGCAGCAGTCTATGCAGCAGCAGCCCATGCAACAGCACCAGTACATTCAACAGCAGCAGTACATGCAGCAGCAGCAGTACATTCAACAGCAGCACCAGTCCATTCAGCAGCAGCAGCAGTCTATGCAGCAGCAGCAGTACATGCAGCAGCACCAGTTCATTCAGCAGCAGCAGCCTATGCAGCAGCAGCACCAGTCCATTCATCAGCACCACCAGTCCATTCATCAGCACCACCAGTCCATTCAGCACCACCAGTCCATTCAGCAGCACCACCAGTCCATTCAGCACCACCAGTCCATTCAGCAGCACCACCAGTCCATTCAGCAGCAGCAGTACATTCAGCAGCAGCAGCAGCACCAGTCCATTCAACAGCAGCAGCCTATGCAGCAACAGCAGCAGCACATGCAGCCTATGCAGCAGCAGCCTATGCAGCAACAGCAGCAGCATATGCAGCAGCAGCAGCAGCAGCAGTCTATGCAGCAACAGTTCCCCTCTCTCTCTGGGTGCGAGCACAGACGTCGCTGGTGCACCTGCTGAAGACGGTGCGTCTGCTGCGACTGCTGCGTCTCCGCCAGAAGCTGGAGCGCTACTCGCAGTACAGCGCCGTCGTGCTGGCGATGCTCATGTGCACGTTCGCACTGCTCGCCCACTGGATGGCCTGCGTGTGGTTCGTCATCGGACGCAAGGAGATGGCAGCAAACGACCCGGAGACTTGGAACATCGGTGAGCCTCCTCCCCGACCTCATGGAACCTCCGCCTGCCGCCTGCCTCTGTCGCCACCACCACTCTCTCCCCCCCGGGAGCCCACGAGCAGGGCACCTTCGATTAGCGTACGGTGCGAAAGAAGCTCAACGTACCATTGGTTAGATTTTTGTCGCGATTTCTTTTATGCCTGACGATGATTGCTTGTGTTGCAATCGAAACGTCGTAGTATGCTATTATTTAATTTATTGTTTTATCTTTATACGTGACTTTACCGAAAGAACCAAAGAATAATTCCTGCTGTCAGGAAAGCTCAAAAATTAAGATTATACCATTGGAACCTCATTTGCCAGTACAAATATGACAATTGTTTTTTTACCCTTCTATCTGGCAACAAAACTGACACCTTTTTTTACAAGGAGTCATGTTTACATAGACCACAATACCTGCAGTCATAATGCAAACAAAAAACATAACTCTGTTGCCAGATAGAAGGGGAAAAAAACTATTATCAAGCTCAACATACATACGAGTATGGGATCTCTGTGGGTCTCTGTGAGTCTCTGTCGGTCTTTGTGGTTCTGTACGGGTCTCTGTGAGTCTCTGTCGGTCTTTGTGGTTCTGTACGAGTCTCTGGATCTCTGTGGGTCTCTGTGAGTCTCTGTCGGTATTTGTGGTTTTGTACGAGTCTCTGGATCTCTGTGGGTCTCTGTGAGTCTCTGTCGGTATTTGTGGTTTTGTACGAGTCTCTGGATCTCTGTGGGTCTCTGTGAGTCTCTGTCGGTCTTTGTGGTTCTGTACGAGTCTGTGGATCTCTGTGGGTCTCTGTGAGTCTCTATCTGTCCAAGATGAGGAAGCCACTGCAGATATGCACTATAGATGGAAAACTCGTTTCTTTAGAACTGCTTTTGCGTGTTTGGTTTGTTGTTCTACCCCCGCACCTCTAATTAACACGGTTGGCTACGTACGGTGCGAAAGAAGTTCAACATACATACATACTCAGTCCCGGCTATCAGTTGGAAAACACATTCCTGCGGAGGGAGCTGGTAGGAACGTTGGGTTGCTCGGTCAATGGCCAGGGTCAACGGCGGCGTGGTGTATTCCGCAAAAATATGGCCGACTGTGAGGGTGGGGACAAGCCGTCGTGAGTAGGTTAAACGTTGAGTTTTATAAGGGCACCACGGGGTGACCAGCCCCTCCCCACCCAGCCCCACCCCTCCCATCCTCCACCCAGCCCCACCCTCCCCACCCAGCCCCTCCCCACCCTCCCCTCCCCACCCAGCCTCTCCCCACCCTCCCCACCCAGCCCCACCCCTCCCATTTTTGGATGCACGACGGACGGACGGACACAATAATCCCCTGTGGGCTGGTGGAACCAGGTGGTTCCTACCAGTATTAGGATGCCAGTATAGGGGGCCGGTGTTGTGATGTGGTTGGTGGGTGTTTCTTTTATTTCCTCTTTGCAGGTCATTTGTGAAGTGAGGACAATTTGGACCTTGACGCTGGAAGGATTTACGGGGGCCACCCCTGACCCCCTGCCCCCACCCCCTGCCCCCCACTGCCCAATTTTCCCCTATCTTCATAGCCCGGCGCGGAGGTCACAGAGATCACAGTGGTCACGGAAATTGTGAATTTTCGACTGCGTGTATTTATGTGTGTGTGTGTGGGGAACGGTAGTGTAGCAGTTAGCGCGCTGCACTACGAACCTGGCGACCCGGGTTCGATTCCCACTCACGGCAAACACCAATGACGATTATCTGAACCGGTCCTGGGCCTCCCCTAGGTCGACTCAGCCTCAAATGAGTACCTGGTGCGGTGTGTAAACATCGCCACTAGGGAGACAAAGGCGGTCGGACGTGGTGCTGGCCACCCACCCCCTCGTGTACCGTTCCGGCCTTCATAGGTGCTCGTTAAACAGCACTTGCCCCTATAGTCTGTTAAGGCTATACGGGGGATCTTTGTTTCATCTTTGTGTATGTGCGTATGCGTGTTAGAGCGGAGCGGTAGCGTATCGGTTGGCGCGCTGCGCTACGAACGCCGGCGAGCAAAGTTTAATTTCCGCTCACGGCCACCAACACTGGTGACGATGATCTGAATCGGTCCTGGGCCCCCCCCCTAGGTCGACTCGGCCTCAACTGAGTACCTGGCACAATGTGTAAACATCACCACTGGGGAGACAAAGGCAGCCGGGAGTGGTGTTGGCCACCCACCACTTCGTGTGCTGTGCCAGCCTTCACAGGTGCTTGCTAACAGCACTTTGTTTAAAGGCTGTACAGGCTTTTTTTTGTAATTGGGGTGAGGTGCCCAGGACCAGTTCAGACGCCGCTTGCCACTGATGTTAACCACCGCCCTGAATCAAACCAAGGCTACCAAGTCCCACGGCGCGCCAACCACCGCGCCACCACTCCGCCACCCTTTTACAATTCAGTCGATTGACGATCCAGCGCTACTCGCTAACAGCCCTTGCCCCCCCCCCCCCCCAAAAAAAAAATTCCATCAAGGCTATACGGGGGAGCTGGGGTGGTGGGATCTGCCCCAACAGTCTGGAACGATATCCCTCTGCACATTCGCAGCATCACCTCAATCGCCTCCTTCAAGAGACACTTACAAACTCACCTCTACAACCCACGTGCTTTCGAGCGACTCTGAGCTTGGCTCCGCGCCTCTGAGTTGCGGCCACTACGTCTGCAAATCTGCGCGCGTTACAAATTTTACTTACATCATTATTATTATTTTTATTTTGTCGAACGCGTAAATCTCGTCCCGCAAGGCTGGCTGCACGAGCTGGGCAAGCGGCTGGACCGGCCGTACTACGCGAACAACACCCGCGGGGGACCCAACCTGCGCAGCGCCTACATCGCGTCTCTCTACTTCGCGCTGAGCAGCCTCACCAGCGTCGGCTTCGGCAACGTGTCGGCAAACACGGACGCCGAGAAGATCTTCTCCATATGCGCCATGCTCACCGGGGGTGAGTCGGTCGCCTGCTTTCCCCCGACAGATTTTCCCGATGGGATGGAATTTTTCGTTGCACGTGGACGACAGTTCTGCTCTCCGACGCGTTAGCGATGCTTTGTCCGACGTTCCGCGCCACGCGCCGCGAGCTTCTTCAGGGATAAAATTTGTATTGTGATATCGAGTTTCCAGTGGTATTCGTAATTGTGGGTCACTTTTTTTATCTTACCTAGAAGAGTTTTATTTTTTTGGGAGTTAGATAGCGTAAATACCAATGTGTCGTTAAACCTGTTAAACCCGCCACCACCACCCAACACGGCCAATTAGTCGGGATTTGTCACGTGAACAAAACGTGCTAATTAGTTACTAGTTCAGCACACCGGTGTGTTGGAAAGTAGACCCACTGCAACACACAATATTTATAATTCATGTTCGGTGACGTTTCGCCGGTAATTATAACAACCAGCATCATCAGGTGACAGCCAGGGAGTTGTTTGAATTGTCTAACTTCACTTCTCGTACAAAGGAATATTCCTGGAAACTTGTTTCACTTTCACTCACCCTAATGGCAGCAATCAACGGTTTAGTAATTATTTAAATGTTGCGATGCTGAGATGCATATTAGGCGCGTGCTGTCCATTACGCAAGACATAATTAAATAGTTAAAAAAAAGTCCAAATTGATTACATCCTATAATAACTGCCTTTGTTCCAAATTACCCCCAAAAAAACTATTGGCAAAACACAACGCAGTAGGTAATAGCTGTTTTAATTTACACTTTAATCATTGAGTGTGCTATTTACTCAAAACGCTTGTGTCAAAATGAAAGCGAGCAATGGTAATCGCGATATTTTCCAAAACAAAATTATTCTTCCCTACTGCTGCGTTGCCCGTGATGCAGACGCACAGTTGACAACAACAACGACAACTTATCTTCTTGGTTCTTTCGGTAAAGTCACGTAGAATGGAAATAATAAAATAATAAAAATAAAACATAATAAAATAATTCTCACGACGTTTCCGCCACAACGCAAACAGCCGTCCTCAGGTGAAGACCAGGTCTGTCGGGGAGACAGAGTCTGAATGAAATAGTTAATTATTTTATTATGTTTTATTTTTATTATTTTATTACTTCCCTTCTACGTGACTTTACCGAAAGAACCAAGAAGATGAATCCCTGCAGTCACGAAAGCTTTAAATCGAAATTTAACGACAACTCACACTGTGGCCTTAATAAAAATATATATTAAATCTACGACGTTTCAGGCAATGGCCCTTTCTCCATAGCACATGCCACATCGCCGATTTTCTAAAAAAAAAAATATTTTAAGTCAGTGTTGTGTTGATAAAGCGAGTTGAGTGTTTGATTTTCCGTACCGAACGCTACCATCACCGTGGATCCTGCATCTCGGCAACAACTGGCTCGTCGCTCATCACGTGATGACAGCGTTGACTACGTCGACGGAGTGGCTGAGCAGTGGTGATGACCGGCGTTGTCTCGCGTTGTCCGTCCCGCAGCCCTCATGCACGCCGTGGTGTTCGGCAACGTGACGGCAATCATCCAGAGGATGTACTCTCGTTGGTCTCTCTACCACACCAAGACCAAGGACCTCAAGGACTTCATCCGCATCCACCGACTGCCTAAGCAGCTCAAGCAGCGAATGCTCGAGTACTTCCAGACCACGTGGGCCCTCAACAACGGCATCGACACGCACGAGGTGCAGTGTTTTGTTTTCTTTCATTTTTAGTGATTCGTGACGACGTCTTTTAGTACCACCTTCACCTTTCTGGCTCCACCCACACCTCAAACCCCCCCCCCCCCCCCCCATTCTGCACCCGTTCCCCTTGGCTCCTGCCCCCTCCTCTTACCCTATATATTGATGCCCCATCACAAATAACTCCCACTACGGTTATTTTGCTGTGCCTTTTTTACACCTGATGAAGGAAGCTTGTGTTGCCTCCGAAACGTCGTGAGTTAAATAATTTATTTTCATTGATTATTATTATTTTTACCTACGTGACTTTACCGAAAAAAACCTAAGAGTATGATAGGGGGGTGCTTCGAAAAACTGTGAACACTTTTGAGAATTTGCAACGACGCCGCGCGAAATTTGCTGACTTCGGGCTCTGGACACCACCTGGAGAAGATTCCAGGCGTAGCGTTGACGACGATGGCAAACAAGTGGGAGACTATATTCTTGGTTCTTTCGGTAAAGTCACGTAGGTAGAAATAAAATCAATCACGACGTTTTGATCGCAACACAAGCGACCGTTACCAGGCGGAACCAATGCAGCAGGACAACTGCTGATTTAAATAATCGAAACGTCGTGATTTGTTTTATTTTATTTTCTACCCACGTGGCTTTACCGAAGAAACCAAAGAGTATGGATTCCTGCAGTCACGAAAGCTTCAAATCAAGATTGAAGTGGGAGACTTTTTTTAACTATTAACGTGCGTTTGTTACGTGACAGTGTATTATTATCCATTAATATCAAAAACAATTCCAATAAAAACGATAGGCTCATGTGAGTGAGAAAGTGTGTGAGAGAGTGAGAGAGTGAGTGTGAGAGAGTGAGAAAGAGTGTGAGAGTGAGAGAGTGTGTGAGAGAGTGTGTGAGAGAGTGTGAGTGAGTGTGAGAGTGAGTGTGAGAGTGAGTGTGAGAGAGTGAGAGAGAGTGTGAGAGAGTGTGTGAGAGTGTGTGAGAGAATGTGAGAGAGTGAGAGAGTGTGTGAAGCGCCCCGTATTTCAGTCGGAATATTTATTGATCCTGGAGAAATCCGACGACGAGCTGTGGGCAGGCACGTGCAGCCCGCTTGCGCGTTGTCCGAAGGAACGGGCGCTGCCGTGCTGCGTTTGTGCCGCACAGGGACAGCTGCTGCTGGGGGTGCCCCCTTTCAAATGCGCTGAGATGAGATTCGTACGCAGGGCGCTTATCGCGTGCAAAGGCGCCGTGAGACGCCCTGGCGTGAAGGGAGTTCTGTCAAAAAAACGTATTGTTAGATTAAAAATATGACTTAATGTTAATATAATTTTAGTAAATAGAATATTATCGTAATATAATATAATCGACAACTTAACAAACCGATGCGGATGCATTTTCTTGGTACCCTATGCGTGTGCGAGCCCAATTATGATAATGATTAGTATTACATCTTCTGGGTTCTTTCGGTAAAGTCACGTAGAAGGAAAATAATAAAATAATAAAACATAATAAAATACAATTCTCACGACGTTTCGGCCACAACGCAAGCAGCCGTCCTTAGGTGAAGAACAGGTCTGTCGTGACTTTACCGAAAGAACCAAGAAGATGAATCCCTGCAGTCACGAAAGCTTTAAATCGAAAATTAGTATTACAGTTAGTATTAGTCATAATCAACGTTTTTGGGTTTAGATCGCGTTATTTATAAATGTGTCGTAACCCTCCACCACCCGACACGGCCAATCAGTAAAAAAGTGTCACGTTGACAAAAGACAAATAGTTCACTGCTTTTTTACTGATTGGCCGTGTCGGGTGGTGGAGGGTTACGACACATTTATAAATAACGCGATCTAAACCCAAAAACGTTGATTATGAATAACATTGGTCGCGAAAGCCTACGTGTTAAACTGAGTTAGTATTAGATTGATTATTTCGGCCACCGACTCAAAACATGACAACTGAAAAATGTGGCCAAATCCCCTTCAAGCAAACCGCTCCCCGCGCCGCGATTACAAACCGCCCGTCGCGCCGCCAGCCCCATGCCGCCCGCCCTTGACGCAGCGCCCGACCGCCGCAACTTGCGGCCGTGGGTGTCCCGTTCGCGCAGCTGCTGCGTTACTTCCCGGAGGAACTGCAGGCCGACGTGGCGCTGCACCTCAACAAGGAGATGCTGCGGCTGCCACTCTTCCAGTCGGCGTCACGCGGCTGCCTGCGCTCACTCTCGCTGCGCGTCAAGCCATCGTTCTGCGTGCCCGGGGAGGTGAGCAAGAGGGCCAAGACCCCCACCCCCCTTCCTTCCTCCCTCCCCCCCTGGCGGTGGTGGCTATGAGATGTTAACTGCCTCGCCTGGTCTACAGGAGGTCGTGGGTTCGATCCCGAGCCTGACGCCTGCTGCTGTATATTTGGAGTCTGCGTCTCTCTCTCATCATCATCATCACGGTGGCTAGGAGATGTTAACTGCCTCGCCTGGTCTACAGGAGGTCGTGGGTTCGATCCCGAGCCTGACGCCTGCTGCTGTATATTTGGAGTTTGCGTGTCTCTTTCTCTTTCATCATCATCACGGTGGCTAGGAGATGTTAACTACCTCGCTTGGTATACAGGAGGTCGTGGGTTCGATCCCGACCCTGACGCCTGCTGTATATTTGGAGTTTGCGTGTCTCTCTCATAATCATCACGGTGGCTAGGAGATGTTAACTGCCTCGCCTGGTATACAGGAGGTCGTGGGTTCGATCCCGAGCCTGACGCCTGCTGCATATTTGGAGTTTGCGTGTCTCTCTCTCTCATCATCATCACGGTGGCTAGGAGATGTTAACTGCCTCGCCTGGTATACAGGAGGTCGTGGGTTCGATCCCGAGCCTGACGCCTGCTGCTGCTGTATATTTGGAGTTTGCGTGTCTCTTTCTCTTTCATCATCATCACGGTGGCTAGGAGATGTTAACTACCTCGCTTGGTATACAGGAGGTCGTGGGTTCGATCCCGACCCTGACGCCTGCTGTATATTTGGAGTTTGCGTGTCTCTTTCTCTCTCATCATCATCACGGTGGCTAGGAGATGTTAACTGCCTCGCCTGGTATACAGGAGGTCGTGAGTTCGATAGCAGTGTTGGTGGCAGTGAGCGGAAATTTAAACTCTGCTCGCCGGGTTCGTAGTGCAGCGCGCCAACTACTATGCCACCACTTCCTCATAACATTTTCGTGTTCTCCCCGCGGTCGCGTAGATTTTTCTCCGGCACCTCCGGTTTGCATACGTAACGTACACCAACTCGCGCCATGATACACGTGCCGTGCAAAAGGGGCCGTCCGTAAGTGGCGTCACGCGATTTTGACTTTTTGTGACGCCGTGTGACAATTGGGGGGGAGGGGTCAAAAATCGTTCAAAATCGCGTGACGTCATTTATGGACGGTCCCAATACGGTGTGGGGCACACCTTTGTGCTTGTGCGTGTCAGGTGCTGCTCCGGCAAGGCGACGCTCTGCAGGCCCTCTACTTCGTGTGCTCTGGCTCCATGGAGGTGCTCAAGGACGGCACGGTACTCGCCATCCTCGGTAACGAGCGCGCCGCTACCCCCCCCCCCAAACCTCCAGCACAGCGTTATAGGAGAGCAGACTGCAGGATAAATGGGGGGGGGGGGCAGGGTGGGGTTTTTGTCTCTCTCTCTCTGTCGGCTGGGGAGCCGGACAAGCCCCTCTCTGCACCAGCGTGGACGGCACCCTCGTGGTGTTCACCTTCTGAAGCGCTCGCTCGTCACCGTGGCATGCGCGATGACCACCACCATCACCACAACCACCACCACTACCACCACCACAACCACCACAACTACAACCACCACCACAACCACCACAACCACCACCACCACGTGGCTTTTCTTTAGTGTTGTGCGCGGTGCTGTTAGCGCCACAGCGCGTGGATTTCGAGCATTTGTTTTCATTTGTGTTGCTGGTGACTTTGTGTATTTCGTATCGGAATCGCCTCCAGTGCTGTTGCTGCTGGCGGCAATAAAAGTTGTTTAAGAGTCAAAGTCTCTCTCTCTCACACACTCTCTCACTCACTCTCTCACGACTCACTCTTTCACACTCTCACGACTCACCCTCTCACTCTCTTTCACTCTCTCACACACTGTCTCACTCTCTCACACTCACTCTCACACTCTCCCACACTCTCTCACTCTCTCACACACTCTCTCACACTCACTATCACACTCTCCCACACTCTCTCACTCTCTCACTCTCAAACTCTCTCACTCTCTCACTCTCTCTCTCTCTCTGTCTCTCTCACTCTCTCACTCTCTCACACACTCTCTCACTCTCTCACACTCACTCTCTCACTCTCTCACACTCTCTCACTCTCTCACACACTCTCTCTCTCACACACTCTCTCCCTCTCTCTCTCTCTCTGTCTCTCTCACTCTCTCACTCTCACACTCTCTCACTCTCACTCTTTCACACACTCTCTCACACTCTTTCTCTCACTCTCCCACTCTCTCTCTCTCTCACACACTCACTCTCACTCCCACTCTCTCTCGCTCACTCACTCTCTCTGTCTCTCTCACTCTCTCTCTCTCAGGGAAGGGAGACCTCATCGGCTCGGACCTGACCGTCATTGAGGAGGTGGTGAAGACCAACGCCGACGTGAAGGCCCTCACGTACTGCGCCCTTCAGTGCATCGGCCTTCGGGGCCTCTACAACGTCCTGTCGCTCTATCCCGAGTATGCGTGCCACTTCCTCAGGGACCTGCAGAACGACCTCACCTATAACCTGCGGCTCGGGCACTTCCAGCCGGTGAGGTCGCGCCCGGCGTTTTCATTTTATTGTTCTTTGCTTTTTTTGTAGTCCTCTTAAATTATATTTAAAAAAAATATATATTTGTTAAATTAATTCTAGATTTGAAGTTTTCGTGACTGCAAGGGTCCATACTCTTTGGGTTTGTTCGGTGAAGTCACGTAGGTGAAAACAATGAAATAAAAATAAAACAACTAAATTAAATCACGAAGTTTCGGAAGCAACACAAGCATCCGTCATCAGGTGTGACCGCTCCAGCAAAATTACTGCAGTGATTTAATTTAGTTGTTTTGTTTTTATTTTATTCGGTTTTCACCTACGTGACTTTACCGAAAAAACCAAAGAGTATTTGTTCAATTATCTCGTTACTTTCTGCTTGCACACCAACCAACCACCACCACCACCACGAAACGCAGCGTCGCCAAATACCTTTGGCTTCATACGGAACCTGGAGCTCGCTCGCTCGCTCGCTCGCTCGCTCGCTCTCAAGCCTGCAGCTTCCTTCAAGATGTTTCGTGTTCTTTGCAATTCTCCCGTTCACCTGTGGTCCTGCAGCTTCCTTCAAGAAGTTTAGTTGCCTTTGATTGTTTTTTCAGTCCCCCCCTCGCCTTTTCATTTTTGTTCTTCTCGTTCTCCCGTTCACCTGGGGTTCTGCAACGCCTTGAAGAAAAATCGAATTCAAAGCAACGCAAAGAGAACTTTAAAAAATTAACCCGTAAAAACAAAGTTTTTCACTATAAATCCTTTATATGCGTGGCATCGGGGCGGCTAGAGTCCTCTCGTCCTCTGGCTTGAGATGGCTGCCACCTATGGGTCAAATGATTGTCTGCCACCATTAAGCAATTGGTAATTAAATATTAAAAAGTTTCCCCCTAAACAGTGTAAAATTTTGATTTTTTTTTTCTCACGAAAATGTATTGTCACGCGCAACGAGTCTGTGTGCAAAATGTCAGCTCGATTGAATCACGGGAAGTGGGTTAAAAAACGACCGAAAGATTTGCACGGTCGTAAGCAAGCAAGCAAGCACGCAAGCAAGCAAGCAAGTGAACTTAATATAAGTATAACCCGTAAAAACAAAGTTTTTCACTATAAATCTTTTATATGCGTGGCGGCTAGAGTCCTCTCGTCCCCTGGCTTGAGATGGCTGCCACCTATGGGTCAGATGATTGTTTGCCAGTATTAAGCAATTGGTAATTAAATATTTAATTTGTTTTCCCTAAACAGTGTAACATTTTGGAAAAAAAGATTTCACGAACATTAATTGTCTCGCACAACGAGTCTGTGTGCAAAATGTCAGCTCGATTGGATCACGGGAAGTGGGTTAAAAAACGATCGAAAGATTTGCACGGTCGTAAGCAAGCAAGCAAGCACGCAAGCAAGCAAGCGAACTTAATATAAAGGATTTAATAAAGGAATAAAAAAAAACTTCTTGAAATGAGCTGAAGGCTTGCGAGCGAGCCAGCTCCAGGTTCCGTATTAAGCGAAAGGAATTTGGCGACGTTTCTTTGGTGGTGGCGGCGGTGGTGGTCCCGTGTAAACTGAATGCCAATTTCGAGGTCCTGCTGCTGCTGTTGCTGCTGCTAGCCACGATGAGAGGGCTTCAGCAGAGCGAGCTGAGAGTGCTTGGCTGCTATAAGTGTCCGCGTGATGAGCATATTTGTTCGAGTGGTCATTTGCAACGAACAAAAACATTCGGACCGCGACAACCAGCGCCAACGGCCGACTCTTTTTTCTTTCAAACGACGTCCGCTGCCGAGCAGACGGTGCGCACGTCGTGGCCAACACAGAGGAGATGTTGACTACCTCGCCTGGTATACAGGAAGTCGTGGGTTCGATCCCGACCCTAACACCTGCTGTATATTTGAAGTTTGCGTGTTTCTCTCTCTCATCATCATCACGGTGGCTAGGAGATGCTAACTATCTCGCCTGGTATACAGGAGGTCGTGGGTACGATCCCGACCCTGACGCCTGCTGCTGTATATTTGAAGTTTGCGTGTTTCTCTCTTTCATCATCATCACGGTGGCTAGGAGATGTTAACTACCTCGCCTGGTATACAGGAGGTCGTCGGTTCGATCCCGACCCTAACGCCTGCTGCTGTATATTTGGAGTTTGCGTGTCTCTCTCTCTCATCATCATCACGGTGGCTAGGAGATGTTAAATACCTCGCCTGGTATACAGGAGGTCGTGGGTTCGATCCCGACCCTTACGCCTGCTGTATATTTGAAGTTTGCGTGTCTTTCTCTCTCTCCGTGGTGGCGTGGATTTTTCTCCGGGTCCTCCCGGTTTTTCCTTCCACATTTTATTAATCGGCGTCGCACGTTTTTAGAGTGTTTTGCTGCTATACATTTCCACGTCATAATGATGATGCTGATGATAAGCCCACTTCGTTGAGCTATCGTTTGTGTTAGCCAGGTCGCTTCTTACAAAAAATGTAAATTTATAACTCAGTGTGGCCCTTACCTGTTAAAGTAAAAATAAACACGTGTTGGTTTAATAGTGAAGCAACACGGAGCTGCTGTCCTCTCCCCCTGGTGCTGCCCGGCTGGCGGGGTGGGGGGGCTGTGGGGAGGGGCGAGTGGGGGGTTGGGTTACACACGATGGAGGGATGGGGCTGTACATGTAATGAAAACATCGCTTCCCATCGCTAACAACCGCCCCCACCTCCTTGCCCTCCCCACCCTCCCCGCTTCCCCCCACCACACCCACCTACTCGCTCCCTGCCCATCTTACCCCACCTCCCCGCACCCCCTACCTCCATGCTCTCCCCTACCGCCCTTCCTCCCAGACCTAACCTCCCCTCACCTCCCTGCTCTCCTCACCGCCCCCCGACCTCCCCCCCCCTCCTCCCTGCTCCCCCCCACCGCCCCCCCCGACATCCCCCCCACCTCCCTGCTCTCCCCCACCGCCCCCCCCACCTCCCACCCGGTGTTGGTGATCCCGTGGGGCTCACCCTGGAACGCGCGCGATTCGCATAACGCGTTCGCGTGCGTGCCGGTGCACGAGCCGTGAATCTATTGGAGGGCGTGCGGAGATTGGTGGCTTTGTCATTTGATGAATTTGGCTCAGTCGATCGCCTTCATCTCTCTCTCTCTGTCTCCACGCGCGTCTCACGCGTGGGCGCTCTGATATCGTTTGAGAAACGCGTCGCGCGGTTTAATGCGCTCGCTCCGTGTGTGTGTGTGTATCCCGTGCCGTGCCGTGCCGGCCTTTGATGGTGCTACTCGCTAACGGCACTTGCCACAACAACAGTGGTTGTTAGCGCACCGCGCTACGAGCGAGCCAGTCCACCCCGGTTCGATTCCCGTTCACGGCCACCGCCAGTCACGATTTTATCTTTAACGGTTCCTGACTGAGCCTCCCCTAGGTCGACTCGGCCTCAAATGAGTACCTGGTAGCAGTGTGTAAACATCGCCACTGGGGAGACAAAGGCGGCCGGGCATGCAAAAACAAATACCCCCCCGTATAACCATAACAGACATTTGGGGCAAGTGCTGTTAGCGATCACTTACGAAGGCCGGCACGGCACACGAGGGGGTGGGTGGCCAGCACCACGCTCGGCTGCCTTTGTCTCCCCATTGTCGATGTTTACACACCGCTCCAGGTACTCATTTTAGGCTGAGTCAACCTAGGGGATGCCGAGAACCGGTTCAAATAATCGTCACCGGTGTTGCCCGTTTGCGGCTAATTTTACTCGGGTTCATAGCGCAGTGCGCTAACCGCCACACACACGCATGCACACACACACAAGCACAGAAACACATACACACCCCAAATATCAAAGAAAAAAGATTCCCCGTGTAGCCTGAACAGACTGTAGGGGCAAGTGCTGTTAGCGAGCACCTATGAAGGCCGGAACGGTACACGAGGGGGGTGGGTGGCCAGCACCACGCCCGACCGCCTTTGTCTCCCTAGTGGCGATGTTTACACACCTCACCAGGTACTCATTTGAGGCTGAGTCGACCTAGGGGAGGCCCAGGACCGGTTCAGATAATCGTCACTGGTGTTGGCCGTGAGCGGGAATCGAACTCGTGTCGCCGGGTTCATAGCGCAGCGCGCTAACCGCTGCACTAGCGCTGCCCATAATATATGCACACATGCACAGGCATGCACACGCACTCACACGTGTGCATGCAACCACACATGCATGCAGGCTCACATACGCGCATAGACACACACTCATGCACACAGATGTGCACTTACAACAACACGTGCATGCACACACAGACGTTCACACGTACGCACATGCATGCATGCACACACACGCATGCACGCACACATTTGCAGTCACGCACGTACAAAGATTTAATCTTTTTATTTTTTACAATGTTTCATAAATCTCAAAACATAATTTCCCGTTCCAAGACCTCGTCTTTCGTTCGTCTCCGCCAGCCCACACGCACATCGTGGAGATAATTGGCTTAGAATGCGGGTGTTAATTGCCTGATGTGAAACGCAAACCGTGTAATGACGAAACCTCCCCTCGCCTCCCAACCCAAACCCAACCCACCCACCCACCCGGGCGAGATTTAAAATCCGGTGCCGCGGAGCTGAAATGTTATTTTTAGGGGGAATTTTAAGATGATTCAACAGAGAACGTTACGGACAAGAAATCTGCCGTCGGTTGACATCGGTTTGAGAGTGTGCGCAGTCACCCTCGTTTCACTCGTCCAGGTGAATAAGAAACGACAACGAACGATCACGTTAAATGTTTTCGTTTTTTACTCATCGCTTGTCGCGTGAAATAATTTCTACTCGGAGAATTAGGAAAATCTTCTTGGTTCTTTCGGTAAAGTCACGTAGAAGGGAAATAATAAAATAATAAAAAATAAAACATAATTCAGACGTTGTCTTTCAGACAGACCTGTTCTTCACCTGAGGACGGCTGCTTGCGTTGTGGCCGAAACGTCGTGAGAATTATTTTGTGATGTTTTATTTTTATTATTTTATTATTTCCCTTCTACGTGACTTTACCGAAAGAACCAAGAAGATGAATCCCTGCAGTCACGAAAGCTTTAAATCGAAAATTAGGAAAATGTTTGGCACGTTCACAATTTACGTCTGTGAACATTGTATAATTAGCGTCCGATCTTTTTTTTTTACATTGTGAAATTAAAACTGGGAAATGAAATCTACAGACAACATCAAATGTTCAAATCTGATTTCAGATAATTTTCTTTTTTAAATCCCCCTTTAATTAGTGCCTTCATTTCAGACGAAACAGTCCGGAAAATTATTCCATTGACTTTCCACATCCATCTTTTAGTGGTTCTATCATGCATCCAATATTTGTTGTGTAAACCTGTGCATAGGATTAGCTCTTCCTTTCCATTATTAGAAGGCCACTGGAGCTTTGCGCATTTTTTCATCAACTGGATTGAAAACTAATTTCTTTTCAACTGCTTTTTGTGTTTAGTTTGTTGTCCTTCCACCGCACCTTCGATTAGCACAGTTGACTACGTACGGTGCGAAAGAAGTTCAACATACATACATAGACTCACACAGAGACCCATAGACTCACACGGAGACCCATAGACTCACACAGAGACCCATAGACTTACACAGAGACCCATAGACTTACACAGAGACCCATAGACTCACACAGAGACCCATAGACTCACACAGAGACCCATAGACTTACACAGAGACCCATAGACTTACACAGAGACCCATAGACTCACACAGAGACCCATAGACTCACACAGAGACCCATAGACTCACACAGAGACCCATAGACTCACACAGAGACCCATAGACTCACACAGAGACCCATAGACTCACACAGAGACCCATATACTTACACAGAGACCCATAGACTCACACAGAGACCCATAGACTCACACAGAGACCCATAGACTCACACAGAGACCCATAGACTCACACAGAGACCCATAGACTCACAGAGACCCACAGCCTCACACAGAGACCCATAGACTCACACAGAGACCCATAGACTCACACAAAGACCCGTAGACTCACACAGAGACCCATAGACTCACACAGAGACCCACAGCCTCACACAGAGACCCATAGACTCACACAGAGACCCATAGACTCACACAGAGAGCCATAGACTTACAAAGAGACCCATAGACTCACACAGAGACCCATAGACTCACACAGAGACCAATAGACTCACAGAGACCCACAGCCTCACACAGAGACCCATAGACTCACACAGAGACCCATAGACTCACACAGAGAGCCATAGACTTACACAGAGACCCATAGACTCACACAGAGACCCATAGACTCACACAGAGACCCATAGACTCACACACAGACCCATAGACTCACACAGAGAGCCATAGACTCACACAGAGAGCCATAGACTCACACACATACCCATAGACTCACACAGAGACCCATAGACTCACACAGACCCATAGACTCACACAGACCCATAGACTCACACAGAGACACATAGACTCACACAGAGACACATAGACTCACACAGAGACCCATAGACTCACACAGAGACCCATAGACTCACACAGAGACCCATAGACTCACACAGAGACCCATAGACTCACAGAGACCCACAGCCTCACACAGAGACCCATAGACTCACACAGAGACCCATAGACTCACACAGAGACCCGTAGACTCACACAGAGACCCATAGACTCACACAGAGACCCACAGCCTCACACAGAGACCTATAGACTCACACAGAGACCCATAGACTCACACAGAGAGCCATAGACTTACAAAGAGACCCATAGACTCACACAGAGACCCATAGACTCACACAGAGACCCATAGACTCACATAGACCCACAGCCTCACACAGAGACCCATAGACTCACACAGAGACCCATAGACTCACACAGAGAGCCATAGACTTACACAGAGACCCATAGACTCACACAGAGACCCATAGACTCACACAGATACCCATAGACTCACACACAGACCCATAGACTCACACAGAGAGCCATAGACTCACACAGAGAGCCATAGACTCACACACATACCCATAGACTCACACAGAGACCCATAGACTCACACAGACCCATAGACTCACACAGACCCATAGACTCACACAGAGACACATAGACTCACACAGAGACACATAGACTCACAGAGACCCACAGCCTCACACAGAGACCCATAGACTCACACAGAGACCCATAGACTCACACAGAGACCCATAGACTCACACATAGACCCATAGTTCGTTGTCCTTCCCCCCGATCCTCGTATTTGCACGGGCGGCTACGTACAGTGTGAAAGAAGTTCAACATACATACACATACATAGTGAAGAACAACAAGAGAATCGGGTATTTTTCTTCCAAGCCAGCGTGGAGAAGGGAATAGCGTTCTGGTGAGATGTTAACCCACTCGCCTGGTATGCAAGAGGTCGTGGGTTTTATTCCAACCCTGACGCCTGTACATTTGAAATTTGCATGTCTCTCTCTTTCTCTCTCCCCGTGGTCACGTGGATTTTTCTCCGCGTCCTCCCGTTTTCCCCTCCACATTTTGAAACGCGCGCTTAGACTATTCGTCCGCGATAGATGTCCACGCGATAAGCCCACTTCGTTGAGCTAATCATTTGCGGTGGCCAGGTCGCTTCCGACAAAGAGCGACGTAGCCGCTGAGCGATGGGGCCTTACCTGGTAAAAGTAAAAAAAAATAAAAAATAGCTTTTAGTTTTAGCTTGGTGGCGAGTGTTGCTGACATTAATCGACACGAGCGGTGACCCACGGAGGAGGGCCTGCTGAGTTACCTGCGGTGGCCTTTGACGTGAGCGCGTCGGATTCCGTCCTCTCGCCGCAGCACAACGAAGACCGGGGCGCATCGATGCACGCGAAGCTGCCATCCATCGTGGAGGACGAAGAGGAGGATCTGGACGACGTGGAACTCACCCTGCTCTCCCCGGACTCGTCCTTCTCGAGGGAGAGGACCCTGAACGGTCAATCGTCGGCCTCCCTCCAGGTGGGAGTCAAAAGTGACGTGGCCGAGTGTTTACCGCTCGAAGTAGAGGGTTTGTGGTTCAAGGCCCTGGCCGCCCTGGTTAATACTTCCGATGTATGTGTGTTGTATTTATTTCGTACCGTACACAGCCAACCATGCAAATCGGTGGTGTGGGAAATATATTAAATTAAACTGAACAATTGTTCTTCTTGATTCTTTCGGTAAAGTCACGTAGAAGGGAAGTAATAGAATAATAAAAATAAAACATAATAAAATAATTCTCACGACGTTTCGGCCACAATGCAAGCAGCCGTCCTCGGGTGAAGAATGAAACACCACCTGAGGACGGCTGCTTGCGTTGTGACCGAAACGTCGTGAGAATGATTTTATTATGTTTTATTTTTATTATTTTATTACTTCCCTTCTACGTGACTTTACCGAAAGAATCAAGAAGATTAATCCCTGCAGTCACGAAAGCTTTAAATCGAAATTTTAACTATTGTTTTCGTACCAGGTAAGGCCCACTGACCTATACAGAAGTGAGCTGGCAATCACAAATGATAGCTCAACGAAGTGGCTTATCACAACGTGGGAAATTATAGCAGTAGCCAAAGACTCTGAACTCATGTGGATTCTAAATGCGTAGGGAAAAACCGGAGGACCCGGATAAAAATCTACATTACCTTGGGGAGAGAGAGAGAGAGACACGCAAACTCCAAATATACAGCAGGCGTCAGGCTCGGATCGAACCCATGACCTCCTGTATACCAGGCGAGGTAGTTAACATCTCCTAGCCACCGTGATGATGACGATGAGAGAGAGACACGCAAACTCCACATATACAGCAGCAAGCGCCAGGGTCGGATCGAACCCATGACCTCCTGTAGACCAGGCGAGGTAGTTAACATCTCCTAGCCACCGTGATGATGACGATGAGAGAGAGAAACGCAAACTCCAAATATACAACAGGTGTCAGGCTCGGATCGAACCCATGACCTCCTGTATACCAGGCGAAGTAGTTAAAATCTCCGAGCCACCGTGTGACCCGTGACACGTGGCACAGTGATCTTCTTTAGCAGGCGTCGTCCGAGGAAGAGAGTTGGCGCCGGTCGTCGTGGTGCCAATTGGAAACAGGAAAAGAAGTACTTGCACCCTTAATTTTGGAGCTTTCGTGACTGCAGGAATCTAACCATAAAACTATAGACAGACATATAAGCAGACAGATATGTATCTTGGTGATGTCTGTCTGCTTATATGTCTGTCTGTAGTTTTCTGGTTAGATTTTATGTCGCCATTTCATTATACCTGATGATGATTGCTTGTGTTGCAATCGAAACGTCGTAATATGCTATTATTGAATTTATTGTTTTATCTTTAGACGTGACTCAACCGAAAGAACCAAAGAATAAGGACTTGCACATTTACTTAATTGGAATAACCGAGAACGTAATCGCCCTCTACTGGCAGACGAAGCCCACTTGTTTACCGGGGCTCAAGAGAACGTTTCGCTGCGTGTGCCCAGAGCTGCCCTTGGCAACGTGGTGCAGGATACCCTCGTTATTCGCGACGAGGGACACGTTCCGGAGATGCTCGTGAAATAGAAAATTTAAATACGTGACAATTATAATAACGCGAAAAATTGGTGATAATATTCAAGCAAATACAAATAACTTCTGAAGTATTGAATGTTACTTTTTTTTAAATGCACCTTAAATTATGACGATGACATGCATCGTCACTTTATCTCGTCACTTTCTCGCATCTCTCTCGCTCGCGACGCAGTCGCGTAGACTTCCAGATGCGATTCGCGGGTAGCCAAAATCGCCGACAGAGGCGAGTTCGCGAACAACGCGGCAACGCCGAATCATCGCGGCAATTTCAACCGCCGGTCGACAATAGTCGCCGCGACCCCACAGAGCGCGTCGGGAACGGCCACGACCCCAGCGAACTTTGACCCCGCCCCCTCTCTCCCCACAGGTGCCACCGACATTCACCGGCCCGCTGAACTACGGCCGATCTCCCGTCGCCTCGCCGCCCTGCCGCTCGCCGGTGTGGGGCTCCTGCCATCCGCCCGCCGCGGGGGGCAACGTTGCCGCCCCCCCTCCTCCTCCTCCTTCTCCCACGCCGCGGACGCTCCGGCCGCCCTCTGACCCCCAGACGGAGTCGGCTCGCGCCGGCAGCTCCGGCCCGCGCTGGGACGTGCGGCGCCCGTCGTTCGAGCCGCCGTTCGTGACGGCCACGGCACCGGCGCGTGAGCCCACGGGTGGCGGTGGCGGTGGCGGCGGTGGTGGCGGTGGCGGTGGCGGCGGTGGCGGTGGGGACGCGTGGCGTTGCCAGAAGCGGAGCCCGTGCTTCCTGGAGCCGACTCGCCAGTGGCCTCAGCACGGAGCGCAGCAGCAGCAGCAGCAGCTGATGCCAGGTGGTTACCTCGGCGACGCGGACGCGTGGAGGAAGCCGTGCCACCTGCAGATCCCCATGCCGACGTCACCGGCGCTTTCCGATCTCAGCCCACGGTGAGTGGTGGCGCCGTCGTCGCTCGATCGTTTTTCAATCGATCGGTCGGCTCGTTCGATTTAGTTTTTTTTAATCCGCACGGATAGATCCAAGAGGTCGTTGTCGTACCACCACCGGCTGTCTGTCCGCACCGCAGCATCAAGCCTATGACACCTGACAATCCTGCGGAGTCTCCCATCCGGGTGTAGCAAGGCCCGTGGTTCGGTCGTGTGGGCGGTGTACGTCCAAAGACGTTCGTCATCGTCGTCATCGTCATCATCGGCCGTGGTCAGTCCACTGCTGTATGAAGGCCTCTCCAAGTCGCAGCCACCCCTCGCAAGTCCGTGGTGCAATTACTCTGGTCAACACACTTTTTCTGGCATAAGGTATTCCAACGGTTTTAAGGTAATTTTGGGGTGCTGATTCCAAATCTGGCATCAGTTTTTGTCTATCGCATCAGGTTTTTGAGATATCAAATATTGCATTTTCAATAAAACTGCAGAAGAAAAATATAAAATGTGGATATCTACATAAAATTATATTATAAACACACTATCCTAAAATACAGCACCATATTTTAACACTAAAGCGGTCACTGACTCGCAACAACTTGCAATCATAAGTGACAGAGTTAATTTCGGGTAAAATCAATGAAAATGGGGTATGCCGATAGCATAACAATTATGTGATAGAGCAAATCTGAGATCACATTTGGAATCAGCACCCTGAAATTAGTCTAAAACAGCTGCAAAAGTCCAGGCCAGAAAAAACATGTTTTTTTTTTGTTGACCAGTGTAATTTACGAGTTCATCACTCCATCTCCTCAGTAAACGTCCCCTCTGCTTATGCCCTTCACCAAAGTCTTTTCTTTACATTGAATCGATTCTTAAACCACGACGATTAATTGAATCGGCACGAACCTTTTTTGCTTCTTTTTTTTTTATCCCAGAAATCTACAACGGCGATTGAATTTTCGACCACTCGAATGATAGAGGCATTAACATTCGGTTGCATGCACGGTTTGGACTTGCAAGTGACGTGCAAATGCACGTAACAAGCTCCTTATATTCATCATCTTATTAATATTATGATCATGAAAATATCTTGGCGCTAAATATAATTTTAATTAAACACCGCGGTTTATGATGTGCCGCTGGCAGGACTTGAGTCGTTAAACGCGAGCTGTTAATCCTGGCACGTGTGGCTGGATAATTGCTCGCGTGGTGTGTTGTACACGACGTGGCTGGCACAGTGGTGAGATGTTAACTTCCTCGCCTGCCATACAGGAGGTCGTGGGTTCGATCCCGACGCTGACGCCTGCTGCTGGAAATTTGGAGTTTGCGTGTCTCTCTCTCTCATCATCATCACGGTGGCTAGGAGATGTTAACTTCCTCGCCTGCCATACACGAGGTCGTGGGTTCGATCCCGACGCTGACGCCTGCTGCTGGAAATTTGGAGTTTGCGTGTCTCTCTCTCTCATCATCATCACGGTGGCTAGGAGATGTTAACTACCTCGCCTGCCATACAGGAGGTCGTGGGTTCAATCCCGACGCTGACGCCTGCTACTGGAAATTTGGAGTTTGCGTGTCTCTCTCTCTCATCATCATCACGGTGGCTAGGAGATGTTAACTACCTCGCCTGCCATACACGAGGTCGTGGGTTCAATCCCGACGCTGACGCCTGCTGCTGGAAATTTGGAGTTTGCGTGTCTCTCTCTCTCATCATCATCACAGTGGCTAGGAGATGTTAACTACCACACAGGAGGTCGTGGTTCGATTCCTGACCCTGACATCTGTTGATTTTTCTCCGGGCCTCTCCGGTTTTTCCCTCCATGTTTATAATCAACGTGCGTGCGTGTAGAGTATTTGGCTGCTATAAATGTGCACGCGATGACAAGCCACTTTGTTGAGCTATCATATGTGATAGCCAGGTCGATTGTGAAAAAGTGCGATACAAAGAGCTCAGTGGGACCTTACACCTGGTGAAAATAAAATAAAATAGTTTGTTTTAATTCTAGATTTGAAGTTTTCGTGACTGCAAGGATTTATACTCTTTGGTTTTTTTGGTAAAGTCACGTAGGTAAAAATGTTTTTATTAATTAAATCACCACGTTTGGGAGGCAACACAAGCTTCCGTCTTCAGATGGAACCGTCACAGCAAAATTGATACAGTAATTTTGCTGTGACAGTTCCACCTGAAGACGGAAGCTTGTGTTGCCTCCGAAACGTCGTGATTTAAATTTATTTTAATTTATTACCTACGTGACTTTAGTTTTAGTTTAATCAGCTGCCCTGTCATGCGTTCAGAAGGTGACCTCACGACGCATTCCCTGGCTAAACTATAATAACATGGGTTGCAATTCATATCCTACCCTTAATGCCCCTAATATCAATACATCCTCGCAGCGGCTTTTGGCGGCTGGCCATCGAACAAAGAACGGCGGTCACGGTATCGTGCAACGCTCTCAGACGCGCTTCTGCGGCCGTCTGGAACGATCTTCCTTCCGATAGTAGGAAGCCGCTGGTAGCTGTGCACTTTCAAATCACCATCTAGATTGAGAACTCATTTCGTTAGAACTGCTTTTTAAATCCTTTATATTAAGTTCACTTGCTTGCTTGCTTACGACCACGCAAATCTTTCGGTCGTTTTTTAACCCACTTCCCGTGATCCAATCGAGCTGACATTTTGCACACAGACTCGTTGTGCGTGACAATTTATTTTCGTGAAATTTTTTTTCCATAACTTTACATTTTTTTTAAATATTTAATTACCAATTGCTTAATGGTGGCAGGCAATCATCTGACCCATAGGTGGCAGCCATCTCAAGCCAGAGGACGAGAGGACTCTAGCCGCCACGCATATAAAGGATTTATAGTGAAAAACTTTGTTTTTACGGGTTAATTTTTTGTGTGTTCGTTCACTGTCCTTCCCCCCCCCCCCCCGTTCCGCACCTCCGATTATCACGGTTGTCTACGTACGGTGCCAAAGAAGTTCAGCGCACGTGCGCGTCGCTGTAACGAAGAAGATGTTGTGAAGTTGTTTCGCAGCGAACGTGACGCCTCGTCGTAGGATCTGAATTGGGAGACAGGGCAAAAGGAAGTGCGTTCTTTTGGCGACGCTCTCCGTTCAAGCGACCAATTATGCATTGGCGTGACGCCGTACCAAGGCGGACGTGTGCTGTAGGTGCTCGCCACAATTAATTGTGATTTCTCAAATTAGATTATTACGCGTTAAACCGTGGAGGTGTAACATTACACATGTAAGGTAAGCGTTCGTCTCGCTTTTAGACGTTCTGATTCGCTGAAAACCCTAAGATATCGGCGTATTTTCTTTCCCCATGGCGTTGACAACTTTATTTTTTTTTGCCGGCTACCGTCAGCTGTTAGAGGGTTCTCGTGAAATCTGCATTCCGCCTCCTACGATCTAACTCGAAAATTAATTACGAATTTTTGTCAATCTATTCCGTGAGCAAACCAAACACCGCTTCAGACCCTCCCTCCCCTCCCCCCCACAGAATCTTCCTGATGTAACGTAACACGGGTGGACGGCTGCGCGATGCGTAAGCGCCGGGTCAATTTTGTAATGACCCGAGCGAGCCGTTGAAAATGTGTCCGAGTGCAGTCTGACATTTGAGAAATGACGGACTAATCTTCGTTCTCACCCTAGATAATCGTGTCGGAGCCGAGATATAAGATTAATAATAATAAAAGTGTAATCAAGCGGTCCTCATACGATCGTTCTCAAGGCGCTATGACATGGAAGAAAATAGTTTAACGTCATAAGAAAGATGTTTTATATTAACCAAAGACTTTGACTCTTAAACAACTTTTATTGCCGCCAGCAGCAAAAGCACTGGAGGCGATTTCGATATGAAACACACAAAGTCACCAGCGAACAAATGAAAACAAACGCTACAAATCCACGCGCTGTGGCGCTAAAAGCACCGCACACAACGCGAAAGAAAAGCCACGTGGTGGTGGTGGTTGTGGTGGTGGTGGTGGTTGTGGTGGTTGTGGTGGTGGTGGTTGTGGTGGTGGTGGTTGTGGTGGTTGTGGTGGTGGTGGTGGTTGTGGTGGTGGTGGTCATCGCGCACGCCACGGTGACGAGCGAGCGCTTCAGAAGGTGAACACCACGAGGGTGCCGTCCACGCTGGTGCAGAGAGGGGCTTGTCCGGCTCCCCAGCGTTCGAAGAAGACGCGCACATCACCGACACGTGTGTGGTACATGGCGTGCTCCAGCCCGAGCCGTGCAGAGAGAGAGAGAGAAAACCATGTTCATCAGATACATTTAGAGTCGAGATTCGGAAGTCGTGGCCTCGAATGGAGCAACGAGTTACAGAGTTAAGGGGTCGTCCATAAATGACGTCACGCACCTGGGGAGGGGGGGGGGTCAGACATTTGTGACTATGTGTGACGAGGGGGGGGGTTGAGAAATGTGACGTCACATCAAAATGAGCAACTGTAAATAAATATAGACAACACGTTCTACTTAGTAAAATCGACTTTTTAATAAATGTTTTCTCCTACAACATCAGAGTGCAGCGCCACATTAAATACGCACTACAATGACAATAGTTTAAAGCGATTTGAAGCATTTTTTTTTGGGGGGGGGGGGGGGGCAGAGCTTTGTGACGTCATATTTGAGGGAGGGGGGGTCTGACTTTTTGTGACGCCGTGTGACGAACGGGGGGGGGGGTCGGTCAAAAATCGTCCAAAATCGCGTGACGTCATTTATGGACGGCCCCTAAGGTGCCGCGATTGCAAAGGCACCGTCACCACCACCACCACCACGAGTACGAGTCATAGAGGCCGTGGTGACAGCAGTGAGCGACGCACACTCTGAGGATCTTCACGATTTCGATTTAAAGCTTTCGTGACTGCAGAGATTCATCTTCTTGGTTCTTTCGGTAAAGTCACGTAGAATTGGAAATAATAAAATAATAAAAATAAAACATAAAATACAATTCTCACGACGTTTCGGCCACAACGCAAGCAGCCGTCCTCAGGTGGAATACTCTGTCTTCCCGACAGACCTGTTCTCCACCTGAGGACGGCTGCTTGCGTTGTGGCCGAAACGTCGTGAGAATTATTTTATTATGTTTTATTTCATTATTTTATCATTTCCATTCTACGTGACCTCACCGAAAGAACCAAGAAGATCTTCACGATGTTGATGGAACATCCGTGGCCGAAGGGGGGGGGGGAGGTCCAAGAATGTCGG